AAATTAAAGAGACAGCCTTTATAAAGTCTTGTTTAATTCAGTGGCGCTTGCTGATCAAACCCCTCCTCCAGGGTTTTCAGTGTATTCCTATTTCCCAGTTTCATGTTAATTGGGAAGTGTACAACATGTCTAACAGCACAAAAAAAACCCAGGCTACCGGTGTGTACTGTGTGTTGATGTCAAATGGTTGGCTGTAATTGCCCTAAACTCCCACAATGTGAAGGATGTGTTGCATTTATACTGTGGCTTACTTTTCTAGGTTCTTCTTTTTCCTGTTCTGAACCTTTTTATCTTTTCTTCTCTTACACACCAGCAACTGTACAACAGTCTGACAAAAGCCCTAAATGCTTTTTTAAAAGACAAATAATAAAAAGTACAAGCAATTTTCCCTGGGATTCAAATGAAATAGCATGTGGAGGTGTCACTTTGCAAACATAAATTGTTCAGGCTTTAAAAATAAAACCAAACCCAGAAATTGGCAGGTCCTTTTCTGTTACAGGTATCTTCCATTTTATTCTTACCACAAAGGGGGAAAAAGCAGGTTCTGACAATTTAAATTGTAAATTTGAATCTGGCTAAATGAATTGGGATTCTTTAGGATGCGGAGATCTCGTTCCTATGGGTTGCTTTTAACATAACACAGCTAGTTCTGTTGAGTTTAATAAATGAGTCATGTTACTCGTGCTCAACTGTTTGCAGGATGAGGGCTTTACATTGTAGCTACAACAGCAAATTAAACATTAATCTAATAAGGAGTTAGCTAGAAAAGACAAAGCACCAAAACAGATATTTAGGTGCTGGTGTTGGGTGGAACAACTCAAGTGTTTAAGTTCCTGACCTTAGTTACAGTTTGGAGCCCCACAAGGCCCCGACATTGGCCCCAGTGTGCTGTGAAACCGTGATGCTATTTAAAGAGTGGTCTGACTGTTTCCTCCCCTCCAGAAGGGATGCTCAGCCTCACAGGATCCTTTTTCTCATAACATGTTTTTCAATAAAATTTTCCCAATTTTGTAATCAGTTGGGAAGAAAGAACATTTCACAATGTTCGTAAGGCTTGGGGATGTTTTGACCAGACATCAGATTTCCTATTGATAGCATGGAATGCTTTGGAATGAAATGTTTTGGGTTTTCCATCTGTAGGCTGTCTGAGATGTCAGCAGCCAATATGACCTACTCTTTCCCTTTTAGGTCTATAAATAAAAGGCAGCTTGTTTAACTGATCTTGCAGTGGAGAGCAGAGGTGTATATTAATGAGCTTGCTCTAATGGCACACTGGACCTATTTAGCACTACAACTGTGAAGGCTTCTCTTTTTCAGTCATAACTCATTTCCTAAGAAAATGTCAGTTATTGCTTCACCCCATGGTCTGAGCTGGTTAGTTTATAGTTTATTTCTTCTGATCTGTACCACTGACAGATATTCTAGACGTGACCGTGATTAAATATGCTTATAAAAATGGTAAACATTTGATAATATAAACCCTCTTGGGAACACACTGTTATTTCTGCATGGCAGCATTCTCAGGTGCATTCAAAGTATAATCTGGAAGCAAAGAAAAAACATTTTAAGCAATTACAGTTATTAGATTAAATTGTTTTGTTAGGAAGATTGTGATGTGTTTAGATCACTGTGAGATAGTTCAGCGTTTTCATAACTATGTCTTTTAAATGCATGAGACTGCAGCAGTGATATTTCACTGTAAAATAAAGATAACATATATTTCCATGTGGTAGGGAACTAATTTAGTCCCATAAATTTCTACAAGGTATTTTTCCCCAGTAGAAGCCCTATTCTGAAAGCAGCAGTAGTTATAAAATCCAGTAATGCATCGTGCTCTTCCTGTAATCATGTGGCATTGTTTTGTGTCTGTGCTCGGATGTGTGCAGCATAGCAGTGTCTGAAACACATGAATGATTCACAATAAAGACAAAAGTAGTAATTGCAATATAATTATTATTTTTATTGATGAACTTATTTAAGAGCTCTGTTGACATTTACAGACTTTTGAGGATCATGCAGTGTTTGTTACAGTTATCCCAGGCATCAAATGTCCAAAAAATGTTTAAGATTGTAGGATTAAGCAGTGACAGATTGGGGCCAGATGTCTGGGAGATACCATAAGTGGCCTTCTCAGTTGGTAAAAGAGCTCTTACCATCCTAAAGCCCTTTCAGAACTGAACATTTTTTCTTTGTAGTTGAAGCTGAGGCACTTGTGGGATGGCTGAATGTTCCTGGGGGTTATTTGAAAAAAGGAATGAGCACCAATTTCTCCAGGAGTAGTTTTATTTAGTGTATATATAAATATACACTACACTCCAAGTAGCAAGAATAGGTGGAAGGGTTAAAAGAGTTGGTGAAAAGCAGTGAAACCCAAGAATTACCTTACAAAGTCATCCTAACAACAGCAGCCCAGTTGAAGTTATCTTGTTCTGTGCAAGTGTACAGTTGGAGACACCTCCACTTCAGGGAAGCTGTGCCCTTCAGGGAAAAACTGCAAGGAATACAGTCAGCAGATCCAGCAGGAAATAAAGGAGGTGAAATAGTATTTCCTGGAGTCCTTTGAAGTGGAGACCTTCCTGCAGCTCTGAGTGGATTCTCTCAACCCCACCCTTCTCAGCTCTTTGCACCAGCTACTTTTTTCCCCCTTTTCAGGACTTTCATCTTCACCTTCCCCTCTTCTCACCACTTCCCAGCAAGGTTCTTGCCCCCACTCCTTTTCCATTGATTTTCTTCCTGTTTCTCCAACCTAACCTTTGCCAACCCTGCCTCCTTGAAAATCTGAGAGCTATGAATTTGCTGAACTCTGCTTTATTTGTCATAGACTTCAGCATATTTGAGCATTTCAGATTGCTCTGTTCTGAATCCTTGTCAGATTTTTAGTGATGATTAAGAAGAAAGCTTGTTTCTTTTGAAGCCTTTTGGGGCTTGGTCACTTCCAAACTCCCCCGCCTCCGTGCACCAGCTCAAGTGTTCAGGGAAGGAGTTGTGGCCAAACAAAACTTTTGAAGACATAGACTGCACGTCTCCAGGTGACTCTGTGGATCTATCTCGATAGCTGTGATGGGGAAAGACATAATATACACATATCAGATAGTTGTCTGGACACACAGACCCAATATGCCATTCAGACTGACTAAATATCTGGCCAGGGCAATAAAACATGTAGGGCAGTGAAAGCCATAGTGATCCTGTCATGTGTGAGTGGCTGGGAAAGGCAGAGATTTTCCAGGAACCCCTCTGTGGGCGTGCCTGTGTGTTGGAGCGCATTGGTGTGTTCAGTTTGTAGTGTGCAGAGCTGATCTGCATCCCATGGCAGGACACAGCCTGAAAAATGAAGTGCTGGCTAGGGAATCTGGATCACTTTGGTCACTGTGTTGAGGTACTTAAAAAACACACTGGTCTGAGCAGGCTATGGTGGAGTTTAAATTGCCTTTGGCAGGCACAGAGAGATGAGACACCTCCAGGTTACAGTGTCTTCGAGGCTCCACATGCATCCAGTCTTCCTTCCCATCCCTCTGCCTGCAGTGCTGGATACACAACAGTCAGGAGGCTGCATGCACTGATGTGTGTAAGAGGTGTGTGTGTGACAAATAGGACTGGCAAAGTGGTCATTTCTGTGGTGCCATCTGAGGAACCATGGGTTCCTGGAAAGCTGCTGAACAAAATCTTGACTCAGCAGAGGGAAGTGACAAAGCACTTGCTAATTTTGTGAGAGTCTGGATTTTACTCTTCTTGAGCAAGAATTGTATAAAAAACTATGGCTTCCAGAAATAGTGGTTAGAACGGGCTGCCCAGAGAGGTTGTGGATGCCCCATCCCTGGAAGCGTTCAAGGCCAGGTTGGACACGGATTGGAGCAACCTGGTCTAGTGGAAAGTGTCCCTGCCCATGGCAGGGGTGGAACTGGGTGATCTTTAAGGTCCTTTCCAACCCAAACTGCTCTATGAAGATACACCTACCTTCTTTCAGAATGTTAGCATTGATATGAAGGTTTTTATCTGCATAAGACACTAGAAGATCTGCAGTGCCTTGAAGCTGCATTAGAGTGGGCAAAGTAATGCATCCCATCACACTAGTCTTGTGCATGTATTTGTTCCCTGTGTGTAAGTATCTGAGTGCATTTTATGGGTTTGCAGGTGTGTGAATGTGCACACACAAGTATTTGTGCTCACCCTGAGGGAGTTCCCAAAGCCCATCCTCGGGACAGTGCCTCCACTGCAATTGCCTGTTGTCTGTAACACTGAAACTTAGCAGTGAGCAAGGCAAAACACCCTTCCCTTGGCCTGCTAGTAGCTGGAAATTTTACTTATTTATTTATTCAGATTTAACTTGAAACAGTGACTTCTGTTATGAGCGCTATGCAGTGTTTCATTACGGAGCTCCCTAATGAAACGGGTGCTTAAGAAGTCAGAATTGCTCAGGTTACTGGTTGTATAAATGCAGAGAACAGCTCTGAATGATAGAGCTAGTAAAGAAAAGGGTGCAGAATAACAGCAGAGTTCCTTTGGATTGATCTTCAAATAGATCAGGCCTTCCTGTAATCGTCTGTGCTCATCAGCTCCAGTGTATTGTATTTCAGACACCGGAAACCAGGTTCTAACCTGCCACAAATAGCTTCTCTTGCTCTCTGTCTGTAGCAGCTAATTGTTATTGCCCACAGTGGCTCCTGTGCCAATTAACATCTCAGAGGACTCATCAGAATACTTGTTCTTTTCTTTAAATTTTCTGTTCTGACACTGTGTCTTTAAGCATTCGGTACTTCAGACAGAACATGTGAGATATTTATAACCCTTGTATTATTACTGAGCTACACACCATGTCTTCGGTGACAGATTAAATGAGCAGCACAATATGTTGTGTTTCATCCATAAATTTCAACAGATGTTTGAATGTTGGTTGATTTATTGCACGTCCAACTTGGATCTTACACTGTTCTCATTGTGGCTGCACATGGTTTATTTAATAGTACTTTACAGCAATTTTTTTTTATGATGTTTTTTAGTTTGAAGGGTGCAACAAGGCATTTTCTAGGCTTGAGAACCTCAAGATTCACCTCCGGAGTCATACTGGGGAGAAGCCATACCTGTGTCAGCATCCTGGCTGCCAGAAAGCTTTCAGCAACTCCAGCGACCGGGCAAAGCATCAGCGAACACACCTGGATACCGTAAGCATGATTTCATACTGGGACTTGCACAGAGCTTTCAGTGGTCCTTGTGCACAACTGGTTCTGCAACTGGAGGAGGACTGTGCCTTTTCATGAGGAGAGCCTTAGAAAATTCAGCTATAAGCAATAGTATTTTGTTTTGAACTGCATGTGCTTTGAGAAATGAAAAAGCCTTGATCACAGGCAAATTCGTTTGTGTTACTCATGCTGAGGAGTAAGTTACGCAGGAGTAAGTTACTCAGCAAGCTCTCCCATTGTTCCTGTTCCAGTAAGAGGGGCAGCAGCACAATAAGGTATAACGTGAGTGAAAGCTGAGTCACTGCTTCTGCACCACATGTGTGTCATTGTCTCGCTTCCTGTCCCTTGTTGCTTCAGTGAGTGTTCTGAATGAATGCAAAAGCAGGTCAGACCTCTCAGTGGAAGGTACATGCACCTCAGTTTTGGACAGTAATTTTGTAAAAGTGAAAATACATCTGTCTTATAACTATATGAAATTTGTTAAGTACCCACCATCAGAATTAACTGTGAGAAACAAATTCTTTTATTCTGTACAGTGTCTTGGGCTTCACTAAGATGAAATCACCATAGTATAGGGAAAGAAAGTAATGAGGCAGCTTTGCAGATGAGTCAAATCCTCAGCATAAAGCTTGTAAAGAATAACAGAGTTGTTCCTTTGTCTTTTTCAAAGAAGTGAATATATGGTTTAACGTTTGGCCAAGTGTTTATGGGGCAGAACTTTTGAGTTTAATTGATATTTACTTTTTAAGCAGTTACACATTTCAGACAGTGCAGCATTAAGGAATGTCTAATGTACATTATGCCTTGCAAAAACAAACAAGTAAGAGAAGCGAGTCAGTCACATTTTCCAAACCAAAGCACACTTACAATAACAATGTTTTATTTATTTGAAAGTCAACCTGAGATATTTAAATTTGTAATTAGTTCTAAAATGCATCTCTTTTGAAAGTGGATATAGTAAACTGAGTGCAGTTTTTAAATATAGCTGCTTGAATCTAATAGATATCATTTTAATAGCCAAAGGCACAAATGGAATACCATTTATTAGCTTTGAGAGAGAACTTAGGTGGTTACTAAAATGAGCAAAAATTCTTTGTATGTGTTATCTGTGTAATATTGAAGACAAATGCCTTAACTTTCTATTTTCTTTTCTTCTCCCTTTATCTCTGTCCTTATTATCTGAAATGCTCATAAATCAGGAAAAAGGTACAGTAATCATTTTCTACTAACTTTCTTAAATATCTAAAAATATCCTCCATGCTATTCCTTTGCAGGTTCTTTAAAACTGTTTCTGTAGTCCTGCACACAGTAACTAACTTCCACTTACCTGCTTTAATTAAGCCCTGTGGTTTAGCTCAGTGTATTTTGTGCTTACGTGAATGTGAAAAATAGCAGAGCTACAGGATGGTGCTGCTTCAAGGGCTGCACAAAACAACTGCCTGGAATGTCAGAGCAAACAGCCATGAACCTTTGGAAGGGCAGTCAGATTTTCATCTAGTTTCCCTATCACTGAGTTGAATGATTTTATCACTAATTTGAATGACATCAGTGATTTGAAAAATACTCTGCTGGGTTCTCTGCTAAGGGATTTGTTAAAGTTTTCCATAGTTTTTCCTCAGGTGTCAGTTCTCTGTGTTCCAGACACTCTCAATAAATCTCCTTTGCCCTGTAACTTTCTGGGTAGGTGCTGTGTTAGCCTGTAAGGTCATGAGTTGGTGAATGATTCTATTATTCCTTCAGAAATTTCCTGCTGGCTGGACAGAGCAGCAATACTTATTCTCTGGAGGTACTTATAAAGAAAGGGGGTTTATATAGGCTGCTTATTCCTTATTGAGTGCATTTGGAATTGGTTTTAAAGCTTCCCAGTGTAGGTCACTCCATCATTTATCTTCTCCAAAAGGAGGATCTGTAAATCATTTTACTTACTGGTGTACCCTAGTTTGATTGAATCTCTACTAAATCATCTGGAGTAGATCCTTCTCCTGGGCAGGAGAAGAACAAAGGGGACCTGTCTGTCCTTGTTGGTAGAAGGGGCATGTCAGCACTCCTCCAGGAGCAGAGTGACTGGTTTAAAGGACCTCACAACCACTTCTCCCAAATCCAGTTGGTTTTTTTCTCTTCTGTGCATCCTCTTTCTGAAGCCAGGGGAATTAAAGAATGTGACACTTAGGTCATGGCAAACCAGTTTTCTGCCTTTGAGAAGACACCAGCAGGATTTACTAGTCCTGGTGAGAAGGCTGAGGTAGTGTTGATAGGTGAGGCAAGAAAACAGAGGAAAAAAGAATGTTGCATTCAACTTTAAAGCTCCATGAGCTGTGCCATGCAGCACTGGCACCTAAGTCAGTGGGTACTTAATAAAAAGTGCTGAAGTACCTTTGCTCACCTTGACAATTGCACCTTCATTTGGAGTTTGTAACCCAGAGATAGTGTTCCCTTTGTTGGGAGTAGGCAGAGATAAGAGAAGAATTTTTTAATCAGTCATTGGGACTCCAGAATCAGCGGCCAAATTAGAGCATCCTCATTTTTGTATTTTTCTTTTATTTTCCTATGAGAAGAGAGGACTGGAACTGCCTGTTCAGACTCAGGTGGTTTTCCCAGGAGATAGTGCTGATACTGTGCCACATAAAAGTGACAAACTCTGCCACATGCCAAAACAAGATGGAAAGGTCCTCCCAACAAAATCAACAAGAGTGGATTTTTCTTTCTGTATTGATTTGCTCACATGTTAATGTTTGATGCAGGTTGTTTGGTTAGGAGTTACAAAAGGAAAGACATTTCTGTTGTTATTCAAAAGAGAAACAAAGTATGAATGAAACCAAACATGTGCTGTGCCACAAGTTTTGTTCTGCTGCATATCATATAACCACAGAATCACTGAGATTGGAAAAGGCCTCTAAGATCTTTGAGTCAAGTGGTTACCCCAGCACCACTGTGTCCACCACTAAACCACGTCCCCTAGTGCCACATGCACGCAGCTTTTGAACACTCCAGGGATGGTGATGCCACCATTTCCCTGAGCAGCCTGTTCCAGTGCCTGACCACCCTTTTGATGAAGAAATTGTTCCTTATCTCCAATCTAAACCTCCTCTGGTGCAACTTGAGAAAGTTTCCTGTTGGCTTGTAACAAAGGAGCAGTGCCCAGTCCCCACCGGGCTCCACCCTCCTGTCAGGGAGTTGTAGGGAGCGAGACAGTCCCCCCGAGCCTCCTTTTCTCCAGGCTGAGCCCCCCCAGCTCCCTCAGCCACTCCTCATCACACTTGTGCTCCAGACCCTTCCCCAGCTCCACTGCCCTTCTCTGGACTGGCCCTAGCACCTCAATGTCATTCTTGCAGTGAGGGCTGTGACGACCCACCCTTAAGGGCTTCTTTACTTTAAGGAGGCATATAAGGGTGGGTTCTCACAGGGGCCCAGAACTGAGCTTGGGATTCACGGTGTCTCACCAGCCCCCAGCAGTTGTAAAAACTGTGTAAATCAGAACTCAAACCCTGAGCTTCCATCTTTATAATTATACTGGGTGATCTCATCATAATTTTGTGTACTGTAAAGGCTGGGGAAAAAAAATAATGCTCTCAAAACCTATCCAGTTACACCTCACTAGCATTTACCTCAGCCCAGTGATGTACATCCAACACTCCAGGTGTGTCAGGTGCTCTCGGTGCTGGCAGGGGGTGCAGCGTCAGGGCTGGCAAACACTCTGTGTCCCCGAACCGGCCGTCCTTGAGCACCCTGAGCTGGCTGTGGGCATGCAAAGGGACATGACCTCTCTCCTCTTCCCTCCCATGCACAGAAACCCTACGCCTGCCAGATCCCCGGCTGCTCCAAGCGCTACACCGACCCCAGCTCCCTGCGCAAGCACGTGAAGGCTCACTCGGCCAAAGAGCAACAGGTGCGTAAGAAGGTAAGACCTGCCAGGCAACAAGGGACACATCTCCAGACCTCCTCCATAGAGTTATTTTTAATTTACCTTGAACTTATTTATTTTCAGATCAGAGTTTTCCTACGGTATCGCTAGAAGAAAACTTTAGTGGAGTTAATTTTCCTGTTGGTTTTTAATCACTGTTGTTAACCAGACCACCTTACATTTTTGCACTTTCAGTTTGCCCCACGCTTTCTCTCCAAAAATTTCTTTCCTGTTCGTGTTTCATACACAAATTCTGCTGTCATTCACATAAAATGTCCACGCATTGAGTCTCTGCAATCAACACTAGCTGGTTGTATTTACTAAAATACATGTTGGCTGATCATCTTAAAGCAGAAATGAAACTAAGCCAGGATACAGTGGAAATGTAGAAAAGAAACACTTGTAATAGATGAGGATGAAAACCCCACACTTTTCCCACCACATCTGTATTTTAAATGCATTTATAAATCACTCCAAACCCAAACTGCTAGTTATGTTTTCACTACTATTGGATTCAAATAAGTGTTTTTGTGGGCTAAATCCCGAACTCATTATTAAATGGGGATGCTTGTGGGCACCAGCCAAGGTTCAGAGACTGGTTTATTACACATTTGTACACACAGTTTGTAAAATGAGGGCTGGGACCCCACAGAGCTGGTCCATGGCAGCGCAGACCACGGGCACACTCCAGGCCCAGGAGTGGAAGGGAACGCTGGCCTTGGAGAGCAACTACAGTTAGTTCAATAAGCAGCACTGATGTCTCCCCCCAGCTGCCTCAGCACTGCCAAGAGCATCACAGCAAGGCACGGTTAAAGGAGGGAGGGCAGAGCAGAAAGATAGCCTGGCAGGATAGAGCCAGGGAGCAGCTAGTTTAGAAAAATGCCAGAGGGAAGAAGTGGAAGTACTGGAGAGCAAAAAGAGGAATGTGGAGAGAAGAGACAATAGGAGAACACAGGTGACCTGAGCTGCAGAATCTGGAGTGAGCCATGGAGGAGTGAGAAGGATCTGAAAAAGCCCTAATTCACCTGCTTGAATACAACTGTGGTGAGGTCATACAGATCTGTCCTTGTTTCCACCATGGCCCTGCCTTATGCCCCTTCCTTCTGCTGCTCCTCTTACAGTTTTCACCAGTTGGAACTTAGGGTCCCCTTTCTCAGGACAGCTGTTTGTGCCCTAATTATCCCTGTAACCCTTCTCTTTGTCAGATGTGTGCAGCCTGAGTAACAGGTCCCGGGGATCAGTGTCCGGAGCTGTGCACACTCTCTCAGATACTAAAGAAACACTCCTTGCATGCTGAGCTTTGTGCCTGGGAGTAACACTGTTCATCCCAGCACCATCCAGGTGGAACCAAGTCTTGTCTCTGCTCCAGTCAGAACTTTTATTTAGCCTGGCAGAACTGGAAAAACTGCTTAGTTTTCCATCCCAATTTTGTATTATCAGAAGGTTCCACAGGGTGTGCTGTGCACATACATCCCACACCACAGGTCACAAGATTCCCAACACTTCCCTAGATTAACCTTTAGGTCATAATGAGAGTAAGAGTCAGAATGCCGTGGCAGTAATTGATTAATTCTATGTAATTAAGTCCATGTAATGAAAGTAAAAGTCAGAAAGCCATAGCAGTAATTGCCACAGAAAGAAGTTGACTCTGGCACCAGAGTCTTTTGCAATAGCAAGATCTTTGTGACAGGAAGATTTTGATACATGAAATTCTCATCAGATTGTGGAAAGCAACCGTGCTCCCTGTTTCAAAGAAGAGAACTTCCTCATTTTTCCTTCCTGTGGTTGCTGGCATACTTCCAGGGGGACAAGGAGGAATATTTCCTGATACCAAACCTGGATATCATTTGTTCGGCTCTGTGTACTGGGCTGAATGCATTAATGTGTTACCACCCTTTACACCTGGTCAAAGGGACAGTCCCCACTGTCACACCCTGCCACCTGCTGAGGCCTTGTTCCAGTTCTGTGGAGGAAGGTGGAAAAAAAGAAACCTAAATCCAAACTTCGCGTTGAGGGGCACAAAGTACTTCCTGCATCAGCAGCAGGAGCTCTTAAGCACAGAATCAATACAGGACAAATTTGGTGCACATCAACTGCAGACTTAGGCTGGTTGGATGTACCAAGACGTCAGAATATCTAGGGATTCTTATCACTTAATATCCTGTCTTGAGGAATTTTCCTGTGTGCATACACATACCCTCCTATAGACTTATCAAATCTATCTTAAAATTACATTACTCCCTTGCCTCCCACACCTTATTTAGTTAGACCAGTCTAAATCTGCACTCTGCCAGTGGCTTGAAATCATCTTCAGATTTCCTGTCTCATTTATCCATGATAACTTTATGAATACTTGATCCCATGTCTTTTGTCCTCAAAATTAAAAAGCACCTGAAAAAGCAGCAGATTTAAACTGCCTTTTGGTCAGACTCTCTTAAAAGGGATCAAAGCAAATCTGGCTCATAAAGAAATAAGAACACCCAAAATATTTCACTTAAATGTATTATGGGAAAAAACCCCACCACCTTCCACAACTAAGCAAATGTCAGTGTTACTGAAATGGTGACAGTGTGCTTTGGATTTCGGATTGAGGAAAAATGGCAGAAAGACTGTTTATGTTCACTTGCTCGTTTTTGGTTGTACCTCAGCAAAGGCAGTTGTCTGTTGGTATCACCTTCCCAGGAGTTCTGAGTGGATGTCACTTAGCCAAGAAAGAAAGCTTAACAGGCTGTTCTGCCAACATGTCTTGGTTGAGATATGCTACCAAAATGTGCCATCTCTGATACAAAACAAAATGCCTGAGCTTAGAGTTGTATCAAAGGAATCCTGAGTATTTGGTTCATAGCTGAGGGGATTACTGCAGTGGTGATATCTGGTTGTTCTGAAAGGCTTTACAAGAACAAAACAGGAGAAAGTTAGCTGTTAATTTAGTAGTAGTTTAATTGGCTGCAGATGCACTTTGTGATCCAAATGTCAGATGTTTATCTCGAACCCACAAATGGCTGTAGAGCAGAATTGTAAATAGGTTTGCCTGGGCCCTTTATTTAGAATAACCAAGCCCAGGGGAGATCGGTATGTGAGGCTGTACCCGTAAGGACAATAACTATTTATTAATGGCTGTAGAACATGATGGCTGTTTGTGTAATGCGAGCACTCTGTTATGACAAAAGCTTGGCAGCATCAGCATGTTTGAAAGAGAATTAGAAATGCTTTTCTTTCTTAATTCTCCTCTCCTGCTGTTTTTAATATGATCGACATTGTGGTTTTCAAGAGTTTGCTTCAGACACTTTTGCCAGAGCTTTAATTTACAGGGAGCGCGGCTGAGACATCGGTGGTACCTCTCACACATCACTGACAGCCCCTTATTCCACCAGTTCTAATCTGATAAGAACAGACGCTTTTCTTTCCCTATCAAATGTCTTCCTAAGTGTCACAGTTAGAAGGTGATGCAATCCTTTTGCCACAGAACCCAGGAAACTACAGAAAGCCTGAAAATGTGCAGTTCAATTATTCAGGAAGGTTTGAAGAAACACAGGGTACATTATTTTACGAAGCAAAGTGTTGTTGATTTAAGATTAGCACACTTAGCTTCTGCACTTTAGAAAACCAAAGTTATCTCTAATTAAAAATACCAAGTACTAGATACATCCTTAATTACACTGAGTTTCTAAGAATGACATTAATTCCTTCTATATATAATCTTTAAGGAGACATATGAATTTAATTAGAAATAATTTGATTTTACTTTGAAATAAAATGTTTCTTTTATCCTCCTCTTGTAGCTAAAGTCCTGTACTGATATCGAACAAGACGTACTGAGTGAATGCTTAGCTATGCAACAACTCCACACATCTTCACAGCACATTCTGGATGGGAAGTGTGGTAGAACTGTAGGTCCTCATGATTTAATTACAGGTAAGAATACTCCTAATAAGCGTGGTGCTTAATATGTCATATAACAGAGGACTTAAAGAAAAGCTTATGGGTCTGATTTGTCACTGTGGAAGATGAAAAAAAACCCAGACCAACAAATAAGATGAAACAATGTTGTGAGTTGTTTACTAAGGCCTGACTTTTTTTTTTTTCAGCATTAGTCAGCCAAGTAGCTCCTATTAATGTCACATGAAGGGGGCAGCAGCCCTGCTGAAAGGGTGTCTCCATCCATTTGTGCTCTTCTGAAAGTTGGCCTTGGCCTTGGCAGAGTGCAGGTGCACGAGCTGTGCTAATGCCAAGCGAGTGCTCCACACAGCAGGAGGGTTTTCTTCGGGAGCTGCAGGAAGGTTGATGAGGTTGTGTGTTATCATGCACTGTGTGATTGTAACAGATGATATGGTGATGTGTGAATGGAGAGAAAACTTGAATTGGAAATGTCAAACCTTGTTTTAATTATCTTTCCTAGTTTTCAATCTTTCTTTCAGTCCTCCTCTCTTTGTTGTGGTTTGAACAAGAGCTGGCCCCTTTCAGGGACTTCAGACTGCTCTATACTTTTTATAGGAAGAGAAAAGGATGCTTCCATTCCCTTCTGTGGAAAACAAGGTCTAGATTCACAATATTTGAACCCCAGCAGAGGATCAGGGATGTGCCATCTCAGGTTCTGTGTTTAGCCAGCACTGTAATTGTAACCTGGCTTACCTAGGCAAGAATCTCCTGCCTTTTTTTTTGTTTCTTGCTCCAAATCTTAAAAATAAAAAATGCATCCTGATTGGCATCTCCTCAGGTTGCACTAAAATGTTGGAATATAACTGCTGAACAGAATGGAGTAGAAAGGGAAATACCCCCTGACTCTGACATGGTTCCCCTGGGAGTCTGCACTCACAGTGGCTCCTCAAAAAGTGGGAGAAAGCTGCAGAGACGTGGAGGGATTATTTCCATTCTCTGCCTGTGTCACCTGCACTGTGAAGGTTTGTGAGGGCAGCAGTGGCCTCTGCTCTCCCCTTGAGAGTCCAATGTAGCTGAATCATGGCTTGGCCTCCGGATTCCAGGCAGGGCAGGAGAGAACAGTGACATTTCCCTGAGAACAGCCTGCACTTTAGGATCCTCAGAAATAACCTCAGTTTCCAAGTGACAACAATAAAACAGGAAAAAAGTTATTAGCTTACAGATAAACAGACCATCCCTAACTTCTCAGTGTCATTTCTAAGAACCTCTTGTGAAATTAAGGATTTTATCTATCCATAACTCTGGCTTTCTCTGATATGATTTCTGTGCTGATTATATCAATCCATCACCAGGATGTTTTAAAAAACCTGTAAATCTTCCCTGATACTTCATTGGGTCACTGCATATGAGACCCCATCACGTACACACTATGAAGAAGTGCCAGGGAAAATAAATCAAGATTTGAAAGGCTGTTTTACGGTGGAACAGAAGTTGCTTCGTAGTATGTGTAGCACAGTTCCACAGGCAAAACTGTTCATCTGTCATTATTTAGGGCACATAAGCCAAAGTGCTGATCCTTACAGAATTAAAGCATAAGGACATTCCTGCTGCCACCTATAGTCTGCAGTGATTGCACATGTGCTCTTTCAAATAAGCAGAGAGACTTTGGAGAAATCAGCTATAATACTGTATATAGAGTCTATGGATAAATACGGTATATGATGTCCCCATGATTCCACCACGAAAACGTTCGTGGTTTGGGTTTTTGTTTTGAGTTTGGTTTTTGTGGTGTTGGGTTTTTTTCAAAGAAAACACATTATTAACGTGCAGAGCTGTGGGCTTTAGGGATCATTTGGATTCCTGGAGAATTTCAGTTTTGCCTTTCTCCAAGTTAAAGCACATTTTAAATATGTCAGGGATGAAAGCCCATCACAGAAAAAAATGAAATATTGAAAAAACTCCCATCCCTCGTGTCCGACTTCAAAGCAGGTTTGTGCTTAGGACTGGGTAAGACAGTGAGCAGAAGAATGTTTCTGCAGTCAGAGAAACCCATTGTTTGCTGAGATCTTCCACCTTTTCTCTCCCCATAACTAAGATGCTTCATGGCTGCACACATTGAACTCTGGCTGTGCCTGAATCCTCATATCACTCTCCCTGCAAAGGAAGTGTCTCTGTGTAGGCATTTTCCTTGGGCATGTTTTATTATTATAAAATTGAGGGGGGAAAAAAGACTGCTAGTCACAGATGCTCAGAGTTCTGTTCTGGCCACAGATGTTGAGGTTAAAGGCCAAGCCATTTAAAATACTGATTGATGACATATATTTACAAGCTGAGGTGGTCAATGTGTGAAGAGGCCCAAGGTGCACAGGCCTGGCATGGGCTGCACTTGCAGGAGTCCCTCATAAGAGCTTCCAAAGGCTTCTATGTGACTGCAGGGACTCAGAATATTAGAACTCAGCACTGAAAAAAAAAGGAAGAAAAACTGTAAAAGAAATGAAATTTTGGAAGTCTTGATAATAATACTGAGACTGGATTAGCAATTGCACTGCTCCCCTTGACTTCTTCCATTGTAGGGGCACCTGGTTTCCTGGAAAGGGGGATCCAGGCAATAAAAACAGCATTTCTCTCCACTCAAACAACTCTTCATTTCTCTTTGGGAAGGACTTTGTACAACCCATATCAGCAGATGCCTCCTGCTTCCCTGAACAAGACAGTTCACTCTCTTTTCTGATAAACATCACTGCCAATATTTCCTTCAAAAGCACCATCTTTGGGCTTAACAGCCATGAACGTACCATTAAGGAGTCATGGGACCAGAGTGACAGCAACTCCAAACTTTGAGTGCATTAAGTCTAGAGCAGAAACATGTCAAACTGGATTCCAGTAGCAGCATAACTGGCTGATAGCTGATGGATTCACAGGGCCCATGGCCAGAGGAAAGTCTGTCCCTTGAAGGCAGTAAAGTGAATGTTCTGTTGGAGTGCCCTTGTTTTGCACTGTGTAAGATAAGTAACTTTGAACTTTAAATAAGTACCACTTTAGTTCTCCATGACCCAACAGAAGTGAGTAATGTGTCCTTGCAGACACACACAGAATCCACAGTAAATCCCATCTTCCGCTGTGTGTGCCACATAGCCCTGGAAGTGCTCCGGAATGACAGGCAGACACCCCATGCAAGTTCAGCAAGTGAACAGTTGGGTTGATTCTTTGACTATGCTGGCTCATGTTTTGGCTTCCCCCCTATCCAGGAGCTTCAGGGGTGGATGCAGCCCCCATCCCCAGGGCAGGCTGTGCAGGCTCAGCCTCACTCCAAGCTCCAGGAGCACCATGGCTGTGTCTGATGCCAGAGCAGCCTCGCAGCTCCCTCATGCCCCACCAGCCCCGTGTCCAAGGGATGTGCACTGTGCAAAACAGGATCTGGTTTTAGGCCCATTTCCTCTGGAAGCAAGGCTTACATAATCCTTTCTCTGGCCTCTCTGTCCGCATGTGTCAGTCCCCTTCCCCACAGTATTTTTTTAATCCATTGGCCAAGCTCAACCACATTTGACAAACACCTCAAAGACAATTGTGTTCTGACACATTCTGTGAATCCTGGCAGCTGGATACCAGAGAGTGACACCCAAAATTAATGTTCCCACTGCAGGAGAGGCAGGCAGGGCTCAGCTGGGACACATGCAGGGCTCCGTTGCTGGACATACAGTGTTATGGGGTGGGTTTTTTACATTTTCTTGCTTCTCTACAGGGTTATGCTGATTGTAGGTACTCAGCTACTCTGTCTTTCTCATCACCTCAAGCAAAGAATTGAACTGTCCTCAGTAGTTGGGACAGTAAGGAACAGACCAGGAGAGACATCTTAAACATTCATGAACTGTTCAGGGTTGGGATTGAAAGATAAAACATTGAATATGTTTCTGGCCACCACACTGCTAAAACTACTTTTTGAGGGCTTTTGAGCTTTCTGTGTGAATTACTGACAGTCCAGCAGCACTCTGGGAGCCTCAGAGAGCATGAACAGCTTGTTTTAGGTTCAGCAGTTTCCTCCAGGCTGTGCTGCCAATATACCTGAACTGGTGGTGTAGGAAATACAGCTGAAGTGTGAAATGACACTGAACAGTCAAGGTCAAATTGGTATTTGGCTCATCTTCTGAGCCCAATAATGAATGTATGACCAGTGAGGATGTGGGGGAAGTGGAAAGGGTTGCATTATGAAATGGACTGAAGCCACCAGTGGAAAAACAGCATTTTCACAATGCAGCATCCCAGCTACTGACTTACTGTTATCAGAAGAAGCTTTGACAAATAAATCCTCACATCACCTGGGAACATCTGACTTCTTAAAGCCCTTCTGTCTGGCGTGCAGTGCAGAAAGCAAGTTGGTTTCACTGGCTGGTTGACAAATGTTCTGTCTAGTGGGAGACAGAGATGATGTGGTTCATTTTTGTTGCTTTAGATCTGTCAGCAGCTGAGGACTCATTGTTCAACAGGGGTTTTTGACTCATCTGAAGTCCCTGACAAAGGTGGCTGGAATCTTGCCTTAGTGGTTCTGCTCTTCAGTCTCACACAGAAACAGATGCTGACATTCAGCCGTGGCTTCTCCGCCCCGAGGGTGTCACACATTCTCCACTCTCCAGATTTTCATGTTGCCTTCTGCTTGTTCCGTGTCCCTGGGAGGGTTTGGGAGGAGGGCAGTCCAGAGCCCTGTCAGTGACACGGGACATGGCCAAGCACGGCTGGCACACGGCTCTGTCATCCTGAACGTGCTGCTCTGCACACACGGAGTGGGAGAGGGCAGATGGTGCCTGACTGGCGTGGTCAAGGAGAGCAGTCAGAGTCCCCAGAAAATGGCACATCCACACCCCTTCAGTGCCTCTGTGCACTAGTAAACCTTCTCATGGTCTCATTAAAAATATCTCTTCGCTCCTCTCTGCACTTAATTTATTGGGGTTTTATTTGTATCAATATGTGATATTTTTAAATGGTCTGGGGTGTCCATCAGCATACTAACGGAAAGTCAAATTACAGAGTTTGAAATGAACAAGAACAAACCCCCAGGTCCTGGTTCCCCTTGTGCACACACAGTTCAGTGTCCAGTGTGGTGCTGACAAGGTACCACAGCCCGCTCTGCTCTCTGTGTGAGCTCCATCGTGCTGCAAACACCTCAGCACTGGGGGTTCCCACTCACAGCTGTGGGAAATGAGAGTCCTGCCAAGCCCTGCTGGCTGTCAGGAGGAGTCCTACAGCTCTGCAGTCACAGCAAGGAAAAGGTGGGCTCCTGAAGAGGACTGGAGAGAGGACATGTGTCAAAATACCACAGCCCAGCGCTGGGTGCTGTTCAGGCACAGCTGCATCTGCTGACAGGACGCTCTGCTGAGGGCTTGTGTCTCAGGGACAGCTGGGGGAATGGGGAGGGAGTTGGGGACTCTACAGGACTTACTTGGGTGCTGCCCTGTTAATTTTATTTTGCCATGTGCTGTGTGTTCCCAGGCATGTACAGTGGTTCCAGCAGCAGCCACAACGGCCCCTCCCCAGGTGTGCTGCCGTCCCCTCATGACATCCCTTCAAGGCACCTTCCGCTCGACTCCGCCCTTCCCAGCCCACATCACCAGCAGTCGCCGTTGGACAGTGCCAGGGAAGGGTATGTGTGCCAAACACTCCTGGCCTCTGTCTGGCATGATAAAGAATGATTAACTATTTTATTTTGTGTGGATGCTGTTCAGAAGAAAACACTGGTCCAAACTAAGCGATTTTGTTTGGTTTAGAGTCACAGAATAATTCAGTTTTGAAGAGACCTCAGGTCATCTCATCCATCCCCTGTGCAAAGCAAGGCAAACTTACTATCAGGTTGTTCAGGGCCTTGTCCTTGTCTTCAACAGAACACACTGGGATTTTTTTCTCCATAGCATGCAATCACATTTAGATTTTGTTTTTTAATTCTTCCTGGATGAATTCTTGTAGGTTTGGATAAGCACAGAGAACTTTTCTCAGCTAAAATGAGAAATCTCTCAAAGGGTAAAACCTATGAGTCACTCAGGAATCAGGCAGTGTTTGCTTTAGTAAGACTCAGTGTCAGAGCCACAGGCTTTCTCACTTCCTTGCTCTCCGATAAAGTTTTCTGTAATCCATCTCTCAGCAGCAGGCTTGAACCACTGAGATCCTAATCAGGGAAGAGTGTTTAATCCCATTGATTGTATGGATTGCACTGCTACAGTACAGATTGCATTGCATGGCTACAGTCTGGGATATTTCTAAAGCACCATTTGCTCAAGGATCTCATAACATCTTCTCAACAGTAAAGAATCTCTGTAAGCCACAAAATTCTGCTCTAATCTTTTTGCTCAGATTTTTTTTTTGTGCTTGGCCTCATACAAATTAAACATCAAACTTAGAGTTTCACTTCCCAGCACTTTGGATAGGGAGGGAACTGATTTTGCTTTACTGATGGGAACTTGGGATACAGAGAGATTTAAGGGATTCTTTTTCCCTAATAACATGTTTGGGTTCTTTAGCAAACACAGCAATTGAATGTAGAGTTTTCCCATCCTAGTCCAGTGACTGACCTTTGTCGTCTTTTATGTGGGGGAAGGAAAGCCCAGAAGGTTTTTAAGCAAAGGGCAGAAGTCAGAGTGTGTGCGGCATGGAAGGGGCACAGGAAGGAAAATTACACCTGGAGTAGTTGGAGAACAATCTCATTGAGGAAATTCAATTAGGAACCAGTTACTGCTTTTATTTTTCCTAACTGGGAAATGAATGCTGCAGCAAGCTGAGCTTCTATACCCTGCTCCTCCTTCAGCCACCTCTTCTGACCTTGGCCAGTGGCAGGTACCAGTGTCCCCTCCCATCATGTGATGCATCTGCCCATCATAGAAACAGACTTATCCTGTCCCTGTCCTATAAAATACCTGTGCCAAACCCTTCTCCTTCCCTGCCCTGCCACATTCCTGACCTTGTATTTCCTGTTGGCAGACCTCATGCCCATGGCAGAGCCTCCTGTGGCCAACAGGAGGCATTGGGAGTTACACCAGATAATAGGAAGTTTTCTGTAGCAGAGAAAGCAGTGATGCAAATAGGAGGAATGGAGACAGACAGTCCACAGGGAAGGTCATCCATGACCTATTCATCCATGGAGAATGGGACTGCTTGAGCCTGGGGGAGTGGGATCCCTCCCTCTGACTGCTCCCCAGTGTGCTGCTGTTTCCTCTTTGAGTTGGTTCCTAGGGGAGTTAATGCAAAAAATCCCAACCAAGAGTGAAATAAAGTAAGGATATGCTATGGGAAGGATTTAATGGGCTGTCAGGAAGGTGGATTTGTTTCTAAAGCACTTTGTGTTCTGTAACTGCTAATAGGAAAGGAAAGCAAAGACTTGACCAGAGTGAGGGCAGCAGACAGTTCTCCAGATTGAGGGGTCGGAAGCTCCCAGGTGAATTCTCATTCCTGCCTCTCGTGTCTCCATTCCAGAGCACAGCACTTCCCTTTCAGCAGGAACACCACGCTGAGTGAACTGAGCCTCACTGAGCTTCTGCTGCAGACATTTTGATCATTAGCATAGGCTAAAGTTTACATCAGAATTGTCTCTGCTGATCTCAGTTCTAGTGCAGTTCTTGGAGGAGACAACAGGGCTGATTTATTGTTTCGGTGCTCATAGACCTAAGTAAAGTCTTTGCCCAACACTGTAGTTAATATTCTGTGACAAAATATGGGACCGAGATTGTAACAGGTTTCTAATTGTGAGCCAAGCATCAGGGAACGGAGAGTGGAATGTATTTCTGAGTAGTGATTTTAAAACAGGGCATCTGGTTTCATGACATAATTACTTGGAATTTTTCAGGATCTCAAACACCATTTTCTAAACTCAGTCTGAATTCAGCGTTGTCATACCCAGTCCAAGATCCTTGTACTGTATTTAATGGTTTATGCCTACATTATTAATGACTGCTGAAATACAGCCCGTGCATGACATCTTAATTGCAAGTACAGAAACTTGGTGTGAACTAATAGTCCTCGAGTTTCATTTAGCACAGTTTTGTTCAAAGCATTCATCCATTTAACTGGGTAAAATCACTTAATAATCCAGTGCTTGGAGCCACTGGGTTCCAGGACTGTTCCCCCTTTGCTGTTACTCATATAACATACATATGGTTCACAACGGGAAAGAAACACCCAACACTGCCTTTCTCCATGTGAACTGCTCCAGCTTTCTGGCACACACGGAATGTTTGGCCTCATTTGTCAGCTGTCTCAGCGTTCCTGTTCCAGTCAATGCAGAGGATTCCTGCCCTCTGAATCAAACGATGACAAGGCTGGATCGCAGAGTCTGAGGCTCTGGAATGAACCAAGTGATTACTATCAAAAAATCTAATTACTGAGTCATCAAATATGCAAGACGCCAAAAACGACATGAGGCGGAGTACAAATAGTCTGCTCGAGTTTGACATGAGATTCAGAGTTTGATTTAAAGGCTTTTTCATTTTTTTTTACAAAAAGCCCCATGTTAGACCATCCTTTGCCAAAGTCAATACCAAGTGCAGCAGTCAATTTTCCCAAATGGTTTGCTGAGACATTTAAATAGTTTGACGAAATTATCTAATTCACTTGAAAATGTTCTAACAAAATCTGACTTCATTACCAAATGTATTTATTCTGGCTTTATTCAATATGGAGGGCATTTTTTCAAATTCTGGTATGAAGTGTATGCTACACCAAAAAAAATTTACTTACACTGATATTAATTAAGCTGAAAGTGGGTGACTGAGAAATACTTTGGCATGCAAAGTGGACTTGGCATGATTCGGGCTTAAATATATCTTTATTTTTTATTTCAGGTAGCAAAGGTTTATTTCAGTATTTCTTGTAGCATTTGCCATGTCTGACTGGGTTTCATTTTGCCCATTGCAGAAATAGTCTATTTTGATTTGTAGCAGAATGAAGACAGAAAAACAGCTTTTAGTATTAAATCTTGGGAGAATGTTGCACTTGGCTTCCTTTCTGCTGTTTTTTTAGCTGTTGTTATCCAAGCCATCTAAAAGTGCACTTAGTTTCGTTTGTAGACTATCCCTGTATATTCCAGTTTAGAATATTCAGTGAGATAAATTATCAGCTTAAGTGAAACTGATATGAGTGAAGTTAAGTGAGTTCGAGCGGTGGCACCAGGTTTGGGATTTGCACCAACTTGGTGTAATGACCCAACAAGGTCACTTTGTAGGCCCCGAACACGGTCTCTGTGTGTGTGACTGGGGCTCTCTGTCACTTGTGCTGCCCCTGACAAGCAGCACTTCTGCTCCCAACAGAACCTGGGCACTGGCAAATAATGACTGTATTGGGAAAGTGATGAGTCTCCAAGGGAAAGGAAAGTGAAACTATTTTTTTATATTCCTGTGGTAAATTAGGTCATTTCTGCTCTGTAAACACAACAGTAAACGAAGAACTAGTGAGATTAAGGCATCTGTGATGTCCGTAGGTGGTGATTAATGAGGACTCTGAACCCAAACTCGTGAGCCTTTAACATAAAGGACTAAGTAAGCCAAGGTTAGAGGAAGGTGCTCACACAACTCTCTGTTGCCTGCGCTTCTCACCAGCCAACTGCAACCAGCCCAGACCACAGGCCAGACCCCCCTGAAGTGACACTGACCCATACAAATAATCACAAGAAACAGGACTTTAGAACTATGAAGTGAAAAGAGACATTTTAGTCAGGCAGCTTAAACATCAGAAATTTTGTTGGCTTGCTTCTTAGCACCCGTTATTTCAAATATCACAGAAATACTGAAATGTAAAGAGTTCTCTGTTAAAAATTTAGTCCTTCATTTCTTCTTACATAAAGTAACACAAGGTACACAGAGCCTTCCTTCTGCCCAACCCAGGAAAACCAGATTTGAAATCCCTGATATCTTTAAGATTGAAACACAAAGGATAAAATCTTATGTGTTACATGGGGAGATTTTTTTCAATATGCTGTGCTGTCCCCTTGAGCTGCCAGGATTCAGGCCAGGTAGGAAAATACATTTGTGTTCCTAATTCTCATTACTTTAAGCGACAATTAGGTGTCTTAGCTACTTCTGTCTATTTTTTATTAATCTTGTTTATTTATTAATCACGTTAATTAAGTTTGTGAGTTCATATAAATCAATTGACTAGGAACTAGCATGTTGTTAGAGCCTTTGTAAGAAACAAATCTTTGCTCTCTAGAAGTACTTCGGAGAACTAAATACCTACCCAGACTTTGTAACAGAGCAGGGAGATACATCCCTCATTCACTTCATTCCACTGGAGAATACTCTTCATTTATAACAGCATACACAAGTCAGTGTTTTAGTCTTTCTTTCAAAAGCACTAAAACCAATAACAAGAAACAGATATCTCTGACAGCTGAAAACATTTTCAGTGGAGGAAGCCAAGAACCCATCATAATTTATCTCGGTGTTATGGATCTGAGCACGCAAAAGGGGCATCAGTACATCTGTCCAGAGAAAGAACAATGTACAGGTGGGCACTGGGCTCGTGTAACAAAGAACAGCAGTGATTAAAAGCATCTGCTTTCCAATCCCAAGTCATTTATCTCACTGTAGAAAATGTGATCAGAATTCATTTATAATCATGTCCAGATAGGCTTATACAGGTTTCCCCCCTCCCCACCTTAAA